AATCTCTAAATATTAGCAGGATTGACCATATATGGCAAATATTCAAAGCATGGATGAATGGTAGACTTATAAATGTAAGATAGATTCTCATTGCATTTGTTCTTTGAATCAAAAATCTTAAATATATAGCAGGAGCACCGGACCATATATGGCAGCAATATTCAAAGCATGGATGAATGGTAGACTTATAAAAAGATAGATTCTGAGAGAAACATTGCAGATTCCTCTTTGGATTTTATCAAAATTCTAAATATATAGCAGGAGTACCGGACCATATATGGCAGCAATATTCAAAGCATGGATGAAAGACTTATAAATATGTAAGATAGATTCTTATTGCAGATTCCTCTTTGGATTTTATCAAAAATCTCTAAATATACGGACCATATTTATTTCATGGATGAATGGTAGACTTATAAATATACAGAAAAAAAGATTCCTCTTTGGATTTTATCAAATATCTAAATATATAAAAGACCATATATGGACAATATTCAAAGCATGGATGAATGGTAGACTTATAAATATGTAAGATAGATTTAAGAAACATTGCAGATTCCTCTTTGGATTTTATCAAAAATCTCGACAGACCATATATGGCAGCAATATTTGGATGAATGGTAGACTTATAAATATTGATAGATTTGGAGAGAAATATTGCAGATTCCTCTTGGATTTTATCAAAAATCTCTAAATATATAGAAAAACGGACCATATATGGCAGCAATATTATGGATGAATGGTAGACTTATAAATTAAGATAGATTCTGGAGAGAAAATTGCAGATTCCTCTTTGGATTTTATCAAAAATCTCTAAAATATAGCAGGAGCACCGGACCATATATGGCAGCAATATTCAAAGCATGGATGAATGGTAGACTTATAAATATGTAAGATAGATTCTGAGAGAAACATTGCAGATTCCTCTTTGGATTTTATCAAAAATTTAAATATATCCAACGGACCATATATGGCAGCAATATTCAAAGCATGGATGAATGGTAGACTTATAAATATGTAAGATAGATTCTGGAGAGAAATATTGCAGATTCCTCTTTGGATTTTATCAAAAATCTCTAAATATATAGCAGGAGTACCGGACCATATATGGCAGCAATATTCAAAGCATGGATGAATGGTAGACTTATAAATATGTAAGATAGATTCTGGAGAGAAATAATTTTATCAAAAATCTCTAAATATATAGCTTGTACCGGACCATATATGGCAGCAATATTCAAAGCATGGATGAATGGTAGACTTATAAATAATAAGATAGATTCTGAGAGAAATATTGCAGATTCCTCTTTGGATTTTAAAAAAAATCTCTAAATATATAACAGGAGAACCGGACCATATATGGCAGCAATATTCAAAGCATGGATGAATTAGACTTATAAATAAAAAAAAGAGAAATCTTTGATTTTATCAAAATCTCTAAATATATAGCAGGAGTACCGGACCATATATGGCAGCAATATTCAAAGCATGGATGAATGGTAGACTTATAAATATGTAAGATAGATTCTGGAGAGAAATATTGCAGATTCCTCTTTGGATTTTATCAAAAATCTAAATATATTACCGGACCATATTGGCAGCAATATTCAAAGCATGGATGAAAAGATAGATTCTTTAGATTCCTCTTTGGATTTTCAATCTCTAAATATATAAATACCGGACCATATGTGGCAGCAATATTCAAAGCATGGATGAATGGTAGACTTATAAATATGTAAGATAGATTCTGGAGAGAAATATTGAATTCCTCTTTGGATTTTATCAAAATCTCTAAATATATAAAGGAGTGGACCATATATGGCAGCAATATTCAAAGGTTGGATGAATGGTAGACTTATAAATATGTAAGAAGATTCTGAGAGAAATAAGGAAGATTCCTCTTTGATTTTATCAAAAACTCTAAATATATAGCAAGTACCGGACCATATATGGCAGCAATATTCAAAGCATGGATGAATGGTAGACTTATAAATATGTAAGATAGATTCTGGAGAGAAACATTGCAGATTCCTCTTTGGATTTTATCAAAAATCTCTAAATATATAGCAGGAGTACCGGACCATATATGGCAGCAATATTCAAAGCATGGATGAATGGTAGACTTATAAATATGTAAGATAGATTCTGGAGAGAAATATTGCAGATTCCTCTTTGGATTTTATCAAAAATCTCTAAATATATAGCAGGAGACGGACCATATATGGCAGCAATATTCAAAGCATGGATGAATGGTAGACTTATAAATATGTAAGATAGATTCTGAGAGAAATATTGCAGATTCCTCTTTGGATTTTAAAAAATCTCTAAATATATAGCAGGAGACCGGACCATATATGGCAGCAATATTCAAAGCATGGATGAATGGTAGACTTATAAATATGTAAGATAGATTCTGGAGAGAAAGATTGCAGATTCCTCTTTGGATTTTATCAAGAATCTCTAAATATATAGAGGAGACCGGACCATATATAGCAGGAACACGGACCATATGTGGCAGCAATATTCAAAGCATGGATGAATGGTAGACTTATAAATAGAGATAGATTCTGGAGAGAAACATTGCAGAGATTTTATCAAAAATCTCTAAATATATAGCAGGAGTACCGGACCATATATGGCAGCAATATTCAAAGCATGGATGAATGGTAGACTTATAAATATGTAAGATAGAGAGAGAAACATTGCAGATTCCTCTTTGGATTTTATCAAGAATCTCTAAATATATAGCAGGAGCACCGGACCATATGTGGCAGCAATATTCAAAGCATGGATGAATGGTAGACTTATAAATATGTAAGATAGATTCTGAGAGAAACATTGCAGATTCCTCTTTGGATTTTATCAAGAATCTCTAAATATATAGCAGGAGCACCGGACCATATGTGGCAGCAATATTCAAAGCATCGATGAATGGTAGACTTATAAATATGTAAGATAGATTCTGGAGAGAATCATTGCAGATTCCTCTTGGATTTTATCAAAAATCTCTAAATATATAGCAGGAGACGGACCATATATGGCAGCAATATTCAAAGCATGGATGAATGGTAGACTTATAAATATGTAAGATAGATTCTGAGAGAAACATTGCAGATTCCTCTTTGGATTTTATCAAGAATCTCTAAATATATAGCAGGAGTACCGGACCATATATGGCAGCAATATTCAAAGCATGGATGAATGGTAGACTTATAAATATGTAAGATAGATTCTGGAGAGAAACATTGCAGATTCCTCTTTGGATTTTATCAAGAATCTCTAAATATATAACAGGAGCACCAGACCATATGTGACAGCAATATTCAAAGCAAGGACAAATGGTAAACTTATAAATATGTAAGATATATCTGGCAAGAAAAATTGTCTAGCACAACACAGTGAACCAACTTTCCTAGCAATTTATTCAATATAATCTTTCCACTTCATGTCAGCAGAAAATATTAGCCCAAGAAGGCACAAAATATTCCCTCAGACAATTAGAGAGCAGTTTCATTTTGGAGGTGTTAAAATTAACAAGCCATTCCTCACCCTAGTTAATAACAAAATATAAGCCATTTTTTAGATCAGCAGCTAATTTATCCCCATCAAATCAATCAGACTTACTATTATGAGAGGAGTAGATAGTTATCATTAGCATAGATACGGAGTTGAGAACTGATGACATCAGGAAGGTCGTTGATGAAAATTAGAACAGCATAAATCCAAGGACAGAGCCCTGGGTGGAGGATGCCTGCATTAATGCAAAAAGATCTAGAGGAGTGGCCATTCAAAGCAACATTCATTTCATGATTCAATAAGAAAGACTGAATCAGTTCAAGAAATTTGTCCAAAAATACATCACACACATACAAGAGCTTTCATTTATAAATGGACAAAAATACCATTAAAAACATTTTATTGAATATATAAAATTTAATATTATTCATAAAGTGAATTTCTCCCATTTGTTCTTTGAATAAAATTTTTATCAGAGTCCTGCAGTTTTAACATTTGAAATTTTAGACAAAAATAAACCAAGTATGTATATTTGCAAATGTCATACTTCATTTCTGCTGGTAAATACCACAAAGTGATTATTTTTTTTCATGTTTTCTTTAATGACTATTTTTTTTCTACACTGTAATTTCAATTTACAGAAAAAAAAAGATCAGAAAGTCTTGTAAAAAAGCAGCGACTACAAAGAGGAACTTGTGAAAACATTTAAGAGCCAATCGTTTACTGCCAACGACAGACTTGAGTATTTGTTGTCTTATTGCTGATTTGTAGGAAATTTCTTTTCTTTCTTTTAAGAAAAACACCTCAGAAATTATTCATTGTTGTTAGCTTTTAAATATGTCTATTTCATTAAAATTCCCACAGATAAAATAAAACTATTATTAGCATTTAAATTGAATTTTGGTGAACATGATTTAAACTGTCCAACACTATTTACTTTTGATAGGTAATTTCTCTTTTCCTTTTTAAATAATAAAGAGACCTTTTACTAAAGAAGCACTGAATGGAAGACGACAACTTACTGTAAAATAAATCGGCCATCATATTAGAAAGAATAAAAACCAATTCTCTTGATAGGAGAAAACAGAAAATGCTGTAGAACAATAGTTTAACTCAGTTAATAAAATAAAATTAATCTGAACATGAAAGACATTAGTATGCACATTTTTTAAGGAAAAAAAAAAAAAGAATATGTTTTGTGAAATGTCTTATATAGTGGTTAAATCAACAGAAAATTATCAACTGTTAGCAATACCATAAAAAATGACAACATTTATTTCACAATTACATTTTGCTTAGCAAATATGAAAAATTTTTTGTTTATATTCAATAACAAATAACATTTTATTCAGCATTGAATAATTATCAAAATCTGTTTAACAAATTGTAACTGATGGCTTTTCTATAGGTTTGATATGGTGGCATCAGTCACGTTGAAGAATTGAGAATAAAGGAATATTGGTTGTTTGAAACCATTTTCAAACCACTTTAGTAAACAAAAAGAAGTGAATAAGAAGAAAGGGAAGAGTAAACGAAGATGAAATGAAAAAGAAATGAGAGAAAGGAGGAGAGAGACGACGGAAATGGAAAGAGAGAGAGAGAGAGACGAGACGGAAAAAAGAGAGAGAGAGAGAGAGACGAGATGGAAAAAAAAGAGAGAGAGAGAGACGAGATGAAAAAAAAAGAGAGAGAGAGAGAGAGACGGAAAAAAGAGAGAGAGAGAGAGACGGAAAAGGGAGAGAGAGAGAGAGACTAGACGGAAAAGGAGAGAGAGAGAGAGAACGGAAAAGGAGAGAGAGACGAGACGGAAAAGGAGAGAGAGAGAGAGACGAGACGGAAAAGGAGAGAGAGAGAGAGACGAGACGGAAAAGGAGAGAGAGAGAGAGAGAGATGAAAAGAGAGAGAGAGAGAGAGAGAGACAAGATGGAAAAGAGAGAGAGAGAGAGAGAGAGAGAAAGATGGAAAAGAGAGAGAGAGACAAAATGGAAAAGGAGAGAGAGAGAGAAACGGAAATGGAGAGAGAGAGAGACTAGATGGAAAAGGAGAGAGAGAGAGAGAGAGATGGAAAAGAGAGAGAGAGAGAGACAAGATGGAAAGGGAGAGAGAGAGAGACTAGATGGGAAAAGAGAGAGAGAGAGAGACGAGATGGAAAAAGAGAGAGAGAGAGAGACGAAAGATGGAGAGAGAGAGAGAGAGAGAGATGGAAAGAGAGAGAGAGAGAGACAAAATGGAAAAAGAGAGAGAGAGAGAGAGAGAAATGGAAAAAAAGAGAGAGAGAGAGAGACGAGACGGAAAAGGAGAGAGAGAGAGAGACGAGACGGAAAAAGAGAGAGAAAAAGAGAGAGAGAGAGACAAAATGGAAAAGGAGAGAGAGAGAGAGACGGAAAATGGAAAGAGAGAGAGAGATGAAATGGAAAGAGAGAAGACGGAAAAAAGAGAGAGAGATAGAGAAAAAGATGAAGTGGGGGAAAGAAAAAGAGAGAGAGACGAAAAGAGAGAGAGAGATTACCTGTTAAAAAGGAGAGAGAGAGATATTTGTCTTTTTTGGCAATCCAAGAGATGAGAGTTACCATAACAATGAAAAAAGAGAGAGAGAAATAGGGAGAGACGAGATGGAAAAAGAGAGAGAGAGAGAGAGGGAGAGACGAGATGGAAAAACAGAGAGATTAGTTGAGGGAGAGCGAGATTTTAAAAAGAGAGATAAAAGGAGAGACGAGTTTGGAAAAAGAGAGAGAGAAGGGACCTTTCCAGAAAAAGAGAGAGAGAGGGAGAGACGAGATGGAAAAGAGAGAGAGAGAGGAGACTTATAAAAGAGAGAGAGAGAGGGAGAGACGAGATGGAAACAGAGAGAGAGAGGGAGAGACAAGATCAAAAAAGAGAGAGAGAGAGGGAGACGAGATGGAAAAAGAGAGAGAGAGAGGGAGAGACGAGATGGAAAAAGAGAGAGAGAGAGGGAGAGACGAGATGGAAAAAGAGAGAGAGAGAGGGAGAGACGAGATGGAAAAGAGAGAGAGAGGAGAGACAAGATGGAAAAGGAGAGAGAGAGAGGGAAGAGAAAGAGATGGAAAGAAGAGAGAGAGAGAGAAAGGGAGAGACGAGATGGAAAAAGAGAGAGAGAGAAATGAGAAGAGATGGGAAGAAGAAGAGAGAGACTAAGATGGAAAGAGAGAGAGAGAAGAGACAAGATGGAAAAGAGACAAGAGGAAGAGAGAGAGAGAGACAAAATGGAAAAAGAGAGAGAGAGAGAGACAAAATGGAAAAAGAGAGAGAGAGAGACAAGATGGAAAAAGAGAGAGATGAAATGGAATAGAGATAATGTGGAAAAGAGAGGAATAACAAAGATGAAGTGGGGAAAGAAAAACATGAGATATTAATCTACTTATTACCTGTTAAAAAGGCATGGATATATTTTCTATAATCCAAGTCATGCTTTTTATATAACAATGAAATATATATATCAAATAGCAAAACTAGCTTTTTCATAAATATAATATGATTCCACACACACATTAGTTGCATGCATCTCTTTATTTTGTGAGATAAAAGTAGCACTATGTTTGGTGAAAATTCAGTCCTTTGAAGTGACCTTTCCATCTTGATGGTATCACGGAGGCTGTGCATCCATATGAAAGTCCTAACTGTACCAACAAGATGAAAGGAATACAGGGATCCATTTGGGCATGGCTGCAAGAGTTGCTGGAAAGTTGTCAGTGTTGACAGTCAACCATCATTGGGGGTTCCACTCTAGGTTTTCTGTCTGGATTTATAAAGTTCTATTTAACAAATTGCAACTGATGGTCTTTTATAGGTCTGGCATCAGTGTTGAAGAATAAAGAATGAAAGAACATTGGTTGACTAAAATCTTTTTCAAATCACTTCTCGTAAACAAAATGAAAGCATAGGAAGAAGAAACTAGACACTAAACAGTTAGGAGAGAATGGAAGAAGGCAGAAATATTTTGGTTCAAAATATCACCTGAAGAAAGGCTGGAGCATACAATGGCAGAAACATTGTGAATATGGTAACAAAGATGAGAAAGAAACAGTCAATGTAAATAGTGTAAACAGTTACAGTACCCCATCTCAGAAATATAGACAGATATAACATGTTTACATATACCTATTCTATAACAGGAGATTTTATATATATATATATATATATATATATATAATAATTATTTTTTTAAAATATGATTCCATCGCTACATACAAGTTCTCATGTTTCAAAAACAGAAGCTGAAAATTTTAATTTAATTATAGAAATTGAAGTACCCAGCTGTTTCATCTTCAAGCACAATCTCATCCATTGAAAGTCCTAACATTGAAATGATATATATAGGATCCACTTGGGCACCCAGGTAGCGGTGTAATGGTTAACCTTCTCTCACTAGAACAGTTATGACTGAGTAAAAAAAACCTTATACTTTTCAAAAACATCTAAAACAAATTGGAAAAATCAATAGGATCCATTAAGAATGAATTTAAAATTAGGTAGAGAAAACAATCTTTAGGTATTCAAACTATTAGAAATAGAAATCAGACATCCCGATCCAAAAAATTTCAATAAAACAAATAAAAAACTAAAAGTAAAATAATAAATAGAACAAGAACGATGTCATCATTCACTTGAAAATAGGCACCCCGACCCTACCTTGACTTAACCTCTTCTTGAATGCAACTAATATGTTGATACAATAGTTGTTAGTAATAATGTAAACCCTTATGCCTCTAATTAAAATAATTGTTTTCACTGCTTTTCTAGTAATTAATATTATGAATGTATATGCTTATAAAACTCCATAAATTTCAAGATTAGTTATTCCAAAATTTGCTTGAGGATGAAATAGAGCTGGGTACTTTAATTCAATTTAATTTCTATAATTAAATTGAAGTTTTTAGCTTCTGTTTTTGAAACATGAGAACTCTTATGTAGTGATAGAATCATATTTTTAAAAAAAATAATTATAATTTAGACTCTACTTTTGTATTGAACACTGTTTTTTAAAAATAAAAATACTAAAGAACTTTGGATTATTAACCTCACAGTTCTTTCCTATTTTTCTATATATTTACACACACACACACATTGGACTCTCCCATTGTTTTCACCATATGAGGGTCAAACAGCTGAGTCCTGAGAACCAACATTCAGAGTACCTGCTCATACCATTTGATTATAGTGGTGAAGACTTGTGCAAAACCAACCACACATTTTGGAAGAGCTGAATATAGAGAACTGGTGTACAGTATGCCACAAGTTGCCTAAACAAAACTCTGCTGGTTTTGAATTCAGAATTGTCTTTTTCCTAGACCAGTTGCCAACCAAGGCTATAGGACCCAATCTATCCTGCTATTTACTCATAGCTGTGGTGAGAAGAGATAGATTCATGCCTTTCCCCTATGTATGGATGTGCAAGTCATATTAAGTATAATGGCTAAGAATGAGAAAAGTGAGATCAGGGTTCATTATATTCACTTATGCACAAGTACCCCTGGGGAAAGGTATGAATCCATCTATTTTCCACCCTCATTTATGAGTAAATATCAGGACAGACTGGTCCCTATAGCCTTGATTGGCAACCAATTTAAGAGAAAGAAAAGTCTGAATTCAAACCAGCCCGAAGAGAACTGGCAAAGGGTGGATGAGCTTTTTATGTGCTGTTTGCCAACATGCAAAATGGAAAATTTATATCCCCCCCCCAAAAAAAACCCTGCATTTTCAGCATCATCTGACATGTAGCACACTGTGCACCAGTACAGGGCATTGTGCATTATGGATGGAGAGAGTGCACATTGCAGGAACAGCAAATTGATCATTTTAAAAAATTCACTTGTTCAGTAAAAAATTAAAATTTACTGAATCCGCATCCTTCATTCTCGATGGAAGAATGCACCCTTTAGAGAAATGGGAAGATCATTTGACACCAATATCTTATGTTTACAGCATATCTTTAGTAAGTTGGGTAAATCAGGCTGCTAATGCATTGCTTTTTATTTATTTCATGTTAGTATCAGTATATTTTTTGTTTTTTACTTTTAACAATTTATAATGTAGAATTATTTCTTAGATGTGATGATAAAATTAAATTATACAGATAAAAAACCTGAGTAACCCTTTACCGAAATATAACCAATGCAATAGCAAAAGTTAAATTTTCTAGTTGTAAAGATTATAATCAATTCTCACTAAGCATGTTTTATTATGGTCATATATTCTGCAATCTAGAATTTTTATCGATACATTTAGCATCTATTGTAACACTATTTTAGTATCTAACTCCATTTAATGCTAAGTAATTCAAAATTTGCCTTGCTTGACTACCGCATCTTGTTGAGAAATGACAATCAAAAAAAATGTTGCTCTTTAAATGTTTAAAAGAAAAATATATGCAAAGAAATCTAACATAAAACGAAAGAAATAAAAACATCTTATGTAGTAAAATATTCCATTATTAGCTCAACAAAAGGCAGATTTGCTTCATGAGGCATTGAATTATGCCTTTTGTTATATCTGGCATCTCTGCTTCAGTCACTTTCCCACCACGATAATGTGGCTTCCCTTAGCCATTTCTATAAATATTTTCACAGTAATTTTTTGATGATCTTTCCTCTTTAGTATCTTGACTTTATGAATTTAACTGCAGTACTAGATTGGCAGCTAGTTTTCATCAATTTACAGCTGAAATTGCTTGATGTAACAGCAAGTTCTATGCCAACAGTTTCTTCTCTTGCACTTCTCACTTGTGGAACTCTCTTCCAGCATCTTGTTTTCCAGTCAACTCGGATCTTCAAAAATTTAAATGCTGTTTTGACAGTTATCTTTTGTCTTCTTAACATTTAGCACGCTGCGTCATTTATAAATATTACTTCTCCCTCTTACTGTATATGGAATCCCCTAAAAACAGAGTGTTTTATATATTAGATCTATATATTTGATATTGCCATAGCCTGGCTCTCACTTTCAGTCAAAATTGTTTTAGGTGTTGGCATAGAAGGATATCATGAAATTTCTTTAAAGATTGATGCTATTCATGAGGTCTTGGATTTTGGTACCACCACCTCTTCCTCGTCTGAGTTGACATTAGTATTTCATGAAGATTTTGGACCATTTTTTTTTCCCCCAAACTGTTATTGCTGGTACCAATATGTATTATCCATAGAAAATTCTTTGAATATTATCATCATGTCTTGGTTTTATAAATGAAGATATTTTGTTGGTTTTCCATGAGTGATACAAATCAAGAATGAAAGATTTGTTCACATTGTTATTTGTGTGTTGCTCAGCAGAACCTTTGTAAATTGTTGTTTGTCTCTTGAATATTTCATTTTTATGTGAAATCAAAAAGTAAAGGTTTTATTACTGTTGTTTTCAATCCTTGTTGTAATAACTGCAGAACACTTGCCCCTCCCATTTTATGGAGCAAAAGCACACAATTGCATGCTGGGATTTTTTTCTTAGCCAATAAAATAGGCTGGTTTGCAGTTTGATAAGACTTGGTCCAGATCTGCTTTGTCTAGAAGACACAATTCTATGTTTGCTTGTCCGAACTTGCTTTTGTGTTGACATCAATTTTTAGTTTGTGAACTTTTTGCCTCTTTACCTGTTAATCTGCCTTGCATACATTGTTTGCTTGATATTATTTCATTTTTTGCTCTGTTCCCCCCACTTTTTTTTTTTATCACAGACTTTGTTAATTTTGTTTGCTGAACAGTACTGTTATTTATCTTGTATTTGGTCATAGCTACTCACTCCACAATTACATTTATAAGTGTAGTACAGCACTATGATGTGAATTTTTTCAAATGGAAATATTTACATTGGTAGTTACCATACTGAGGCAATTGTTAGACTAGCACAATCCATGGCACCAGCATACCAGATTACTTATGAGTGCTGATAAACAACAGGATTTAAGGTTAGCTTTTTGTAACAATGTAATAAATGACCCACTATTTTTTTTTGGAGGGTCAAATTTAAGATTTAAAGGTCACTTTATATGTGGCAATATATGGTAGTTTTAGATTCAGAAGTTATAAACATTTTTTAAAAATGGGAAACCTTTGGAAGAAATCCAATTCCAGATAGTCAAAGAAAATATAATACTCACCACTTTTTTATTATGGACCATTTTGAAATAGAATTCATCTGGATTTCGATTAAGTGCTTTTATCTTGAGATTCTTAAGTATTTTCTCTTTTCTGTGCTGATCGCTGAAAAGAAAAAAAGAAAAAAAAGAAATGTTTATCATTTTAGCACCAACAGATGTTGGCTATAGAAGCAATATTTCACTTGGCTGACATTCTAACTTTGGAAGAGTAGACATGTATAAGCCAGTTTAGAGTTCATGGCACAAGCATACTAAATTACTTACCAGTGCCTATACACCACAGGATTTAGGCAGCTTTTTGTAGTTTAGAGTTCATACAAACTTTAATATCAAATCACACTCTGTTAATAAAATTATTATTTTTCCATTGAAGATGATCATTGTTTGATGGTTTCTGTGGTGGTAGTGAGGTGGGGGTTGCATAGATTAGACCCTTGGCAAATCTACTAGGGTCAGATTCTGAACAAAATGCATGGCTTGGAGGTTATTGAAAGCTTACATCTTTGCCCAGAGATACCAAAACTGCAGTATTTTAGGAGTTTGATGTCCAGTTCAAGCTTCTGAAACAAAAGCTTATTTACATTATTCGGACTGTTATCTTCATCGCTATATTCACAACATTTCAGCCACTGTAAGCGCCGACCCTCTTCAGGTGATTGGAATTTTGAACTGAACCCTTTATTTTGCATACCGGGGTAGATTGTTCTAGTTCCACATGCTATGTCTCTTCCAGATATCTCAGTCATTTCCCTTTAACTCAACTCTCCAAGTTTTTTGGTTTACTGCTGCAGCCTGATACTGAACTCACAACTCTTTGGGTTTAGCCATTGTATCTAACCAACGCCTTTATCCACTGGGCCATGTTCCCTTGAGGTCACATGGCCCAGTGGATAAAGGCGTTGGTTAGATCCAGTGAGTTAAAGGGAAATAACTGAGACATCCCAAAGAGGCATAGCATGTGGAACTATAACAATCTATACTGATGGATGAAATAAAAGGTTCGGTTTGAAATTTCCAATCACCTGAAGAAGGCTGGAGTGTACAACAGCCGAAATGTGAATATGGCAATGAAAATGAGGATAACAGTCTGAATAGTGTAAATAATCATAATACCTCATCTCAGAGATATAGACAGATATTGAAATCAAAGCTATTTACAGTTCTGAAGGAAAAATAGAGCAAACTAGCACAAATTCAGAGAGTTGCATGTCCAAATAGTTGCGAATCGACTCACCCAGCTGTTGGCTTGCGTGCTCTTCTTTTATTCACTGCAACTGACTTTATATATACTGTCATAAAGATCGTATAATGCTCATAGTTGCTGGTTAGTAAGACTAAGGAAAAAACTGGAAATAAAAGGTTTAGTGAAGAAGAGTTTAATCACATGAGAACAGTAGACCAGTAATAAGTGTACGAGTGAAAAATGTTACACCTTTGTAACCCACTTTTTGCCGTTGTTCCATGAGCTGACGTTCTACTTATAGTAGAGTCCATGTTTCAATAATAAGTGTAGATAAGGTGACTCAGTCTTTCCACACAACAATAAGCAATTGTTGAAGATTTTTTATGTTTATAGGTGGTCATTATTTCAATGCTGGTTTTTGTGGTTTTGCATCTGCACGGGTTGGTGGGTGCCACATTGGGTTTCTTTGGAGCATCGTGTGTTTAAGCAATATTTCGTTGTATCCATTTTTTTATGATTGAATAATTCACAAACAAAATTAATTTTAGTTGCATTCAAATAATGAGATTTAAAGTTAGTGTATTCCCTTGCAGTGTACTTGTCTCATTCTTTCAATGATTTTGATCTTTTTAAAGCATATTGACCTCCATTTTTGGTGATTTGTAACCTGACACTCTCAGGTATCTACTAGTATTACACATCTTTTTAAGTTTTGTTTTGGTTTGTCCTTAAAACAGATGAGAGGATGATCAACTTGAGATTTCACATGTCTGTGTGTATGCGTGTGTATTATACAAGTTTGGCTGAAAATCACCAGAGGGGTTATTTATGATATACTTCATTTTTCTACAGTTTGGACGTTTATTTTGTTTTCTGGTGAGAATTTGGACATAAATTAGCCAATGTCTTCTGAGTGCTTTTGCCTTACATAAGTATTATAAAGAGTGTAATGGTTAGCAAGCTTGTCTTGCTAGAACCATTATGACTGAATAGTGAGTCCAATCCTCACTGGGTGATCCATAATGTCGACCTTGTGCCACATCTAAGCCAAGCTTAGAAAATCATCATAAATATTATAAAGATCATATAATGCTAATTATTGCTGTTTAGTAAGACTGTAAAGAAACCAGCACATCCAAGTTATTCTATCAACCATTATCAGTTATAAATGATGGAATGAGTCTGCTTCAGTTTTTCTTTGTATCATGGAGCCAATGGCATTAAAGAAGGAGTCATACCTAACCACTATTTGATTGATTCATTCATTTTCTATGGCGTATCAACCATTTGCAAGTTATTTGAAGTGAGAATTGTGGAGGGTTGGGGAATAATAATGATTTAGTGACACAAGATTTACTAATTAATCCATAGCTGGATGGAAAAGAAGCTGATTCATACCGTTTCCCCGAAGGTATTTGCATGTAAGTGAATATAACAAAACCTAACTGGAATTGGAACTTGTCTCTCTGATTAGCAATTCCAAGCCATTATCCATAACATCAACCGCACACCCAGGCTTACAGCAAATGGTATTCCCAGCCGGTCATTCATCTAGGTACTGTACAGGTTCAACGCTGCTTGTTTTAATGTGATATGGCTGTAAGCCCCCTCTACTTTGATTGGCTCTTGAACTTTGTATTGAGGGAACAAAAATAACACTGGACTAATTAGCAATGGAGTTTTGTCTCAGTGAACTTGTTATGACATCCGCTGCGAAGAAAATAGAATATTTTATACGAGAAGTTACTACAAAACATCACAATCCAACTCATTCCCCCATCTCTTTTCAAAAGTGATTACACGGCCCTGTGGGTGATGAACTATTAAGGTTGATTCATACCTTTCCTGAGGGTATTTGCATGTAAGTGAAATATAACAAACTCAACTGGAATTGAAACTCATCTCTCCAATTAACAATTCCGAGCCACCCATAAATCCAAGCTTACAGCACCTGGCATTCCTAAGTGGTCACCCATCTAGGCACAGACCTAGCTCAATGTTGCTTAACTTTGGTGGTCATATTGGAACTAGGGTTTCAACGTGATATGGACATAAGCCTGAATATAAGAGTAAAATGAAATGAGATGAAACATTTAGGAAGTCTTTCCCCCTCTCTTCTCCCAGTTTGGTTTTAAAATAATGAGCAAATATGGCCGTTCTGGTGAATTCTTCAAGTACAGAAAAAATAAAGCTGGAAAGAATAAAATGAATCCATCAGTTCAAATATGTTGTCTATATTCAGCTGCTACAAAAGTAACAGAATGGTTTTAATGGAAAGTGCCTATTCCGTTAATAAAGAGTTTCGGTTTAAGTGATGCTTATTATGACAGCTTAAAAAAAAAAAAAAAAAAAAAAGAGAAAAAAAAGGAGTTGGAGGCATAAATCCACTTTTCCCTGTGCTTTACTTCATCACTAGATATGTTGGGAAAGGGTTTCATTGCTGGCATGTAACAATGGTTGATAAATGATAAAAAGTGACCAAGTGAGCACATTAGTAAATTATTTTATCTACCCAGATGGATACAGCAAAGAAAGCTTTTATTCCCATTGTCAATGTTGACAGGAAGTAATTTGGCAACTAATAAAAAAAAAAGACAATTTTGGAAATTTACATTAAATTATGAAAGAAATTATCAAGTTAATGAATTTGAAAAATAAGAAAAATCTTTGTGAAATAATTTGTTTATGTGAAAGGGAGGGAAAAAAACGAAAAGCTGTTAAATGTCATTTTCATAAAAATAGAATCGACAGATTGTCTGTTTCTCAATTCCTATCTGGCAGTAGAAATACGATTTAGTCTTTTCAGTTTAAAAATAAGAAAAATAATTTCTTATTGAACCTTGAGACCTGACATACCATCCACAGACATTTTGTGAGAACTTCAGAACAAACCAACAGTAAATTGCAGCAAATGGCAAGTACAAAGTTGCTCATATTTATAATCTTTTTCTTACATGTTAAATGGCGTAATTATGTCAGTTCCACAACAATACAAATTCTTACTTCGCGCAAAGCTAATGGTGGGTAAGAGTAGGTAGTTTCTTTGATCATCCGGTTCATATTCCTCTTGGGTTTTTGAACAGGAGTAAATGTTTATCTCGTTTTTTTTTTCTTTAGAATTGGATTTCTGGTCTCTTAAATCTTTTTCATTCTCTTTCACTCTTAGTAACCCCATACCAATAAAGTGCTCAATATCAAAGACAGAGCATTAATAGAATTAATATAAGTAAAAGTTTTGTCAATGATAAGTGCATATAAAAAAACAAAAATCGAGAAGTATAAGAAGTCAATTGCTGATAACCCCTGACGGACGGGTCAATCTACAAAACTCTTGAGTTGGGATTCTGAAGGTAACAGAAACCAGGTAAGTGACAAACCTTTTATTTATATTAATTCTCTCCCTCTTTCTCATTATATATATATATATATATATATATATATATATATATATATATATATATATAAAATAGCTGGCCATTCGTATTTGAGGATAACCACCTACTAGGGTGGTAGCCAATCCTTATTGCAGATGCTCGTTCAGGCACATTTGTGTTTGCCCAACACTCACAGAGCCCGTCTGTGGTTTATATTGCAACTATGCTGAGCAGACCTTAGTTACAGTTTCTGGGAGAGAGCATGTTCTCTAGCGTGATCAACAATTTGAACAAGGCCAGCACGCTCTAGCCCTCGCCCACAATGACTCGTGGCTTTGTGCTATTGATGGCCCACAAGAGTTCTGTCTACCCAATTTCACTCACAAGGCTTGGGTCAACCTGTGGTATGGTTTTCAGGCACTTTCCAAAGATGTCGCACGCTAGTATTGACCTTGATCCAGTCTGATAACATTAGGAAGTCTTCTTCCTGACAAATTGACCATGGTGAGATTCAAACCTGGGTCTCATGGTCAGAAAGTGAACGTTCTAACCACTCGGCCACACACTCATAAATATTCATGAGATTTATGAAAAATAAAGAGTTTTAAAAACATGCTAACTACTAACTCAATCACAATTTCAATTGAAAAGAATTTATCTAAATTTTGTTACAATTACTTCTAAAGTAATAAACGAGTTAATACAAAACAATAACTACGTAAATCTTGAAAGAATTTACACTATAAACTGTAGTAAATGTAAATAGCTGAGACTTCTAGGAATTTAAATAAAAGAATATATGAACATAAAAGGAACTTTTACTAAACAACACACTTAAGGCATTAGTCATTCATCATAATGAAACTGACCACAATTTTGACAGAATGCAGTTTTAATAAAAAAAAAAAAAGATTTCTGAGTCTTCCATGGCAATTTTAATATAAGTGAAAGAGAGAATGAGGGTGGGGGCAGTAGATGATGACAGATGAGAAATAGAGAACAGTGGGGAAAGAACATGACAAAAGAAAACTGGAAAATGATTACATAAGAGAAAGAGACAGCAAAGTGAAATGATGATGAGAGAAGGCATAGACAAAAAGATGATATGAGAGAGGGATAAAAAGAAGATGACAGGAGAGAGAGAGAGGGGGATAAAAAAGAAGATGACGAGAGAGAGAGAGAGGGGGATAAAAAAGAAGATGACAAGAGAGAGAGAGAGGGGGGATAAAAAGAAGATGACAGGAGAGAGAGAGAGGGGGATAAAAAAGAAGATGACAGGGAGAGAGAGAGAGGGGATAAAAAGAAGATGACAGGAGAGAGAGAGGGATAAAAAGATGATGACAGGAGAGAGAGAGAGGGGGAGGGATAAAAAGAAGATAACAGGAAACAAAGGCAGGGGTGAAAAGAAGATGACTGGAGTGGGAGCGGCAAAAAGAAGATGACAGGAAAGGGAGACAAAAAGGTGAGAGGAGAGGGGACAAAAGGTGAGAGGAGAGGGGAAAAAAGGTGAGAGGAGGGGGACAAAAGGTGAGAGGAGAGGGGGACAAAAGGTGAGAGGAGAGGGGACAAAAGGTGAGAGGAGAGGGGACAAAAAGGTGAGAGGAGAGGGGGACAAAAGGTGAGAGGAGAGGGGGACAAAAGGTGAGAGGAGAGGGGGACAAAAAGGTGAGAGGAGAGGGGGACAAAAAGGTGAAAGGAGAGGGGGACAAAAAGGTGAGAGGAGAGGGCGAGACGGGGACTTAAAGGTGAGAGGAGAGGGAGAGACAGGGACAAAAAGGTGAGAGGAGAGGGAGAGACAGGGACAAAAAAGGTGACAGGAGAGAGGGTAAAAAAAAAAAAAAAAAGATGACAGGTGAGTGACAAAGGATAAAAAATAAAATGATAGGATTGCGACAGGGCAATAAAAAGATGACAGGCGAGAGTGGGGGACAAAAAAAAAAAAAAAAAAAGAAAAAAAGATGAATGGAGAGAAAGAGAAGACAGAAATAAGATGACAAAAGATGCTTACATTTATATTAAAGATCTTATGAGATTTAATATAAATTTCAGAACATAATTTACCATATTTTTTGAGCAGTAAAAAAGACCTAGTCTTTAAAAAAATCTTCAAAATGGTGGGAAGGAAAAAAAACTAAAAAAACTAAAAAAATCTGTGTCCCAAATACTTACTCAGCACGTTTTTTATAATCCTTTTTCTTTTCAAGAAATCCCAGATGTGCTCGGGAACTTGGCTATAAAAAAAGGAATAAAGAAAGTTGTTAAATCTTTCAAATTTATAATATATTTTGTTTATATATGAAAAACATAGCTGACTTAAATAAATGTCTGAAGCAATCTGATTGCATGAGGAAGTATATTGCTTTTTACCAATTATTCTAATGTCATGACAGAAATTCTTTATCATTGTCAATTTGGGTTTAAAATTACTTGATAGAAAAAAAAAAATTCAAGAAACAGAAGTTTATATTTAGATTCATTTCCATTGAATTTTCTTTCATTCTTAAAGTTCATCATTAAAAAAAGAAACTTTCATATTGTTTAAAAGTTACATTTTAATGACACCAAGTGAGTTATTTCCATGGATTTCAACTGGACATGTTCATTATTGAGAACTAAAAGTGGTGCCGAGGGCCAAGAAAAAAATGCCATATTAAGAACATTAATGATAAAAAGTCAATGGTATTTGGAAGACAACATTGTTTTACAGTAGTAAGCCCCCAAGTAGGTCTAATTTAGGACAATAAAATTGTCTTGTCTTTGTGACGCCAATATTATGCAAAGTCCATAACTTCTAATCCTTTCATTAATAAAGGTGTGGTCATGTCATGTGTAGCAACTGAACTCATTCAGAAATATCTAAACTATCAGCTGTGTAAAATTGCTTTCTCCGATCAAAGATTAAAAACCATTTTGAGCAAGTAAAGCTTTCAGATTTTGGTAAAGATCAACCAAACTTTGACTTTTATTGACTGGTACTACAGAATCACAAAGAACTGTAGCAAATAACAGAAAACAATTCACTTGAGGACTTTCAACAGCAGCAGCAACTAAAATGGCAATTGCAAGAGAAAATAGTGACATAATCAAGATGTTGATATTCCACACTAATTCAAATAAAAGGTTAGAAAGGAAACGCCATCAATACTGGAAAGATTGATAAAAGCTACTGGACTTGAGAAACTTATTTTCCTGAAATATTGTTTTAAGAGAAAGCTTTATAAATTTAAACCAAAAGCAGTATTTGCTGCTCTGTCAATGAATGCCAAATATTTCCTTATAAGGAAACGGCTAATATTACCATCACCATAGGAGCTTTATATTAATAAAATTGAGGCCAAACCAACAAAATGGCAATGGAAAATTTGCTGATAGACTTCAAAATATAAATGATATCAGAAGGATAACATTTAATGCCAATATTTGGGCCCAATTTTTTTTCTATACGATGCTGAGATATATACTGAATTTTTCTTCAATATAAGTAATCAAAAAAATTATTGTTCAATCCCATATAGCCCACTTTAACTATTTGGACATTATGTTCTGACATGAGCCTAGTTCAGGTTTTGATCCAAATTTATGGTGAAGATATATTTTTGAAACCATATCATCCTGTAATTTGAGCAGCACTTAATAAAAGTCTGAAAATACTTAGTAAACGAAAGACAATTCTATTTTATTTTTATTTTGCTTGTTCAAAATTCTTTTTGGTTTCATAGAAAAAGGGAACAGTATAAAAAATTACAATTTTTATTTTGTTAGGTCTTGCTAGGGAGACTGACATTGAAAAAAAAAAAAATTCCAGTTGAAGGTCTATGATAATGCTCTTGCAAAAGGCATGAGCCCACCTTCCTGGGTTCTGTCCAACTACTAGATTACTAGATGTAAATGCCCAGTCACTGGTATACCACAAGAGTTGATAGAGAATTTTTCTTTGTTGCTTATATCATATAAATCTAACTTTTACTTCTCATATTACTGAGAGAGGAGACGGGCATCAGCAAGTAATTCCACTTGTACTAGAGATGTTCTAAATGACCCAACATGGAACTTGAATGATCTCTTTGATCACAGAAGCAACCAAAAACAATAACAATTTCAAAATGTTAAATGCCAAATCAATAAAACTTCAGACATAAGCAAATTGGGTTCTGAACCCTTCTTTTTTTGTTTTGATTAGAACATTTATAGACATCTTTATTTTCGATGTTTTTGGCCTGTGGATGGGAAGAAAAAAAAAGAAAACAAAAAAAGTGTATAAACCATTAACCAACAGAGTGAAAAAAAAAAATAAATAAAATAAAAAATTAGAAAATTTTTCATAACATTTGCAACTTTTTTTGATAAAAATTTGCCAAGCTATTTATTTAATTAAATATTTACTCAATCGTAATGAAGAGGTGGCTCTTAATTATCGATCAAAAGTGTTAAAAAAGCCTGTGGGCACAGAAGCCAAGCAAAACATCCAATCTTATGTTAGAGGGGCAAAAAAAAAAATTCCTTATTAAAAACTTTTTAAAAGATAGGAGGGATAGTAAAAAGATAGGAAGTTGTGGAGAGCCATAATTGCTCATGTCTTGAAGGGACATTACATCTAAAAGATTAAGGAATAATTTACAAAGGGAATTTGGCAAAGTTGAACCATCATGCCTACAAAAAAAAACTAAAAAGGATTGTTTTTCCCTTGACACTGCTATTATTTTATAACTACCTTCACTCTCTTGGCAATGTTTACTGTTTTAAAAAGAAATGATGAGAATTGGAATAAAACCTAAACATATGACAGTAAATTTATACTTTGTCTTCATTCTTGAAAATTTACAACAAAAATATTAAACACTATTTATTTATTAGATTATTTACAAGAATAATTTTATATTTACAACATTCTAAAAATATGAATCAACTAATGCAATGCAATGTTTATCATTTACCAATTTATAATATGAAGACTATATTTTTTTATTTATAAATTTATAAACATTTACTAAATTATAAAAATATGTGAAGCAACTATAATGCAATCTTTATTTACCATTTTATAAAGTTGGAATCAATTGGCAATTAGCTGGTGTTTTGCTAACCATTCCAAAGGACACAATTCACCAGCTTCACCAAATTTGGTTTGGTTGATTTCATTTAGCAGCATATTAATACCTCTATGGGTTATTTAATGCCGAAACTTTAATATTTGGTATGTAATTTTATGGTTTGAACTATAGATATTTCTTACATAATTTTATACTTTCAGGGTAAATGTATGTTTTTTTTAGATGATTCCCCCACCACCAGGTTGACGCTTGGACTAAAAGTAAGCCGTACATTCAGTTGCCATCATGAGGAAGAAAGCGGACAACCACTTGCTGCCTTGTGTGAGCATAGTTTCGCTTTAGCAAAAACCCATTTACATTTTTCTATTTTTTTTTTTTTTAATTTTTCCTTTTTTTTAATTTTTAAATTTATTTATTTTCTGTCTCCCCCTACTCATCAATGTGTTCTACCATAGTAACATCTTGTGTCCTAACCATTCTCCCTTATTTGATAGTTTAGCAAGAAATCCTGGCCCGAAAGAAAAATCAGGAAAAATGGAAAATTGATTGTCTGTGGCTAGATGCGAAAGTGTCTCGTCAGTATTCTAATGATGTAGTGACCGTATCTTTTTGCTTGATATATTGTCTGAACTTGGAATTGTTCTCGCTGTTTCTTTCTCCTGTTCTAAATTTTATTGAAAGCATATCTCCCAAGCCCACTATTTGGTGAGGGCGGTGGATTGGCCATTGATCACCGCCCCCCACCAGGTCAACGCTTGGACTAAAGGTAAGCCGTACATTCAGTTGCCATCATGAGGAAGAAAGCGGAATTCGCTGGTTCCCAGACGTCATGAGTTCAAGCGCCCTTCACTGTCGAAACTCCTAAATTTAGCCGTCTCTTCTACTCCAATAGCTTTGTGTCTCGCACCTCTCGCCTGTGGAACTCCCTTCCCTATTCCAGTTTCCCTGAGAGCTATAATCTCCAGCTATTCAAGTGTGATGTCAATCGACATCTCCAGTTGTCTTGATCTATCCACTACCCTCCTCCTCATCCTTTCTTCTATCACTCCTGTCTGATCTTGCTCTAAATTTTCTGTAACCCTTTGCATCCTAGTGGCTCCCCGCCTTGCTTGGGGTAAAATGTTTAAAAAAAAAAAAAAAAAAAAAAGAAAAGATATACAGATTGTAGCAGGGCTATGGAGTCAGAAGCAATTGAGGGGTAAAGCTATACAGACTGCAGTTGAATTTACACTTTATGTAAAAAGTCTTACATTGTAGAATTTTTATTTTTATTTCTTCTACTTGTATATTTGCTATTTCCTTTAAAGAAATTCATCTCCACTTCTTTTTTAAAGTCATTTTATTTTTTCTAGTTATTTTGTAGTTGCAAAACTATATATGTAAAAAAAATCTTATAGAATTTTGATTTTTGTTATGTCTTTTACATCCTGTAATAGATTATATTTCAACTTCTGTTACAAAGTAGTTTTATTTTTGTTCTGAACTTATTTCTTAATGGCAAATAAATAAATATATATATATATATATATATATATATATATTTTGAACAATAAGAAAATAAAAAATTAAAATCTTTAGACACACTGGGTTGTAGATTAATATTCTTTCGTTTTTTTTATTATTATTATTCCATTTAGATTCCTCGACTAGTTTCGACCAAAATAGCCATCATTGGGAGGAGAAATATTTCTGCTTGCTGTTAGCAGTGAACTACAGAAATGAATGTCTTGATTGAGAAAATGAACTTTTGTCTGTAGATTTGTTTTTTTATTTTTTTATCTTTTTAACATGAATCTTTTAACATTCCTTGTGTTGGTCAAACAGTCTCTTTTAAGTTGTTATTTGAGATAAGAGCTGGATAGATACATATTATTCTGAATTCTCTGGTCAGTTTGACAGTTTTATTGTATCTGCTGAGGGGATGTGTCTCTGTTTAGTGTTTGTGTGTGTGTTATTTGGTTCTTAGGGAGTGAGTGAGTATGATATGTGTAAGCGTGTGTATTGCTGTAGGTGTGTGTTATCATTTGGCTCATTAGGGAGTGAGTGAGTATGATGTGTGTAAGTATGTATATTCGTGTGGGTGTGTGTATAAGTGTGAGGCCTCCATTCCTCCATAAGCATGTCTGTCTTGTGTGGGTGAGAAATGTGGGTAGGTTTTGATTTGTTGACTATCTATATATTGTTAAATTTATGATTTAGCCCGGCTGGGTATTTTGTTTTTAGACGTTGTATCCACTTATTTTCATGGGACTCTAAAATCTTTCTAATGTTATCTGCTCTGAACTTTTCTATTCTCTCAATTATAGTGAATTTGGCATGGGTTTTGAAATATATATTATATATATATATATATATATATATATATATATATATATACACACCCAAGTATAGGATTGGTGTATACGGAATAAATTCCAATAACCAACAATTACTATTCTTAAAAGAGTGCTCAATACAGAGTAGAGTGAATATAATTATTTATTCGAAAATTATAACATAAATATGTTATAAAATCACTACAAAAATAGCCATTTTGTTTCAACACCTCTGGTGTCTTATCAAGTAATGATGTTGAATATAGAATAAAAGGTTTTAAAAAGTTCAAATCAATTAACCATCCCTTTCAAGGGGAAACGCTGTTACATAAGCTGGAATGACCAATCAATCATTCCAGCTTATGTAAAAGATTTTGATTTCTCAATGTGTATGTCAAGTTTTGTTCCTTGGAAATGTCCCACTTGCCATCAATATCACATACAACAATGGATTCTGGTTTCAAGATGTCTCTGTCTGGCTTTGCAGGGTGTTTCCATTTCAAATGAGATGATTTCTGAAGTCTATGAAGGTATTCCATTGTGTATGTGCCATCAGAATGTTTCACAATGCAGCTGCTAAGTAACATGTGTCTGCATCACTTTCAGTAACCATGGTGACATAATTCATCTCAACCACAATATCATTCTTGTCATCTTCAGTGGAAGAACTGGTTTGGAATGAATGAAGAAACTGTTCTGCATCCTTGTTAGATGGCAATGTAACGTATTCAGACATGGGATCATTGCCTTAAAGAATTGCACATAAATTCAGCAACTGTTCAGTATGACTAATATTGTTGATTCTGAACAAATCCAGGTGTTGAAGGATAATATCTGATTTGTGAGTATCACGGTAATATGAGAACTTAATATGAATAATCTTTTCAACATTATCGCAATTTGCCTTCAGAATATTATGAAGCTCTTCAATACTGGTTTCTAGCCCATTCCAACCTTTGCAAAGTTGAAGACATTTAGAGGTGTACCTTGATAGTTTCTTTCCTTTCTCAATTTTCTCCATGATTTTCAATTTGTGGAGTTCTTTATGGTCAGCTACCCAGTCATTTTGCATGTTGTTCAAAAGATTAACAATTGAAATGAAGCTTTTGATTGGTGCGTTATGGAATGTCTGTGATTGGTACAGAGTTACATCATTCCAGATTCCTTTTGCTGTGAATTTCTTGATACGAAACTTGGCTACTTTTCCCAAACACAGAGAGGTGATGTTTTGAATCAAGGTTATTTGTTGGCAAACCGCCTTTCTCCTCTTTTGTCAGGAGATATTTATATGTGTTGTCACCAAAGCCATATTCCCTTCCTGCTTGTCTTCTCATCACTTCAGCAGCATCAACACACATCATTTTTAAAATTTGATGCATGATTTCTGTAGTTGGTTCATGAACATTGACATGAGGGTAATTAATAAGGTAATCTTTGAGAGTATCCATCTTCCCATCTTTAAGATCCTTGAACATAAGAGGGAGCATATTCCACAAAATAAAGGGAAGGAAAAGTAATAGCATGTGTGAAATATGTGAGGACATTCAGTTCTATTATAAGATATTCTGAGTCCAGAAACATTTGCAGTATTGCAAAATTGTTGGTTGCTTAAGTGGGATGCATCCAAAAGCATGCATAAATAAGGTAACAACTGGAGGGTTGAAGTAGCTGAATATCCCAGTTTAGTAAAACTCTGCTCATAGTACATGACAATACATTTGACCTTCATGCTGCAGGATATTGTCAAACAGGTCAGCTAGATTGGTACTATTTGCAGATTTGCATGTCACCAAATCATCTCACAGTAACACACACCTTCAAAAAATGACAACAAAACCAATCTGATCACAGACTGTATTCCCATTCAACATCATCTTCCAACTTCCTGTTTTCAAATTTTTCAAAACTTTCCGTTTGGATGCAATATACCCACAAAACTTTTTCTGTTTCAATGGCCTCTTAAATTTGGCCTTCAAAATGCGAGATAACAGATTTTAATTCTGACACATTAGAAGGACGAGTTACCGTACGAATAGGATCCACCTTACTTTGAAATGGTTTTGTGCTTTCTACACTGTGTGACCTAAATATTGTAGTTCCTGTTTAAGGTATTGAATCTTAGCACCATTTAATTTCCCATTATATTCAATAAAACAAGCAAACACTGCCTTTAATGCCTGGATTAAGTATGAATCATTATGAAATCTTTCTGTTGTAAGTCCATACAATTTACTTACATTCAAGAACAGTTATGTTCTTATATCACTATTTTCTGGCTTTACTGAGGGTCAAAATCACATATTTCAGTTTTTAGGACAGCAATTTGTCAAAAATGCATTAGATTGAAAAATATTTTCAGATTTTGAATTCTTTTAATATGTTAAAAAAAAAAATGTGTATCTGCAGAATTTGAACATAGTTAACTTCCACAAAATAAAGAAAAAGCGAAGTGACAGCATGTGTGGAATATGTGAGGACACTCAGTTCTGTTATATTCTGAGCCCAGAAACATTCACACTGTTGGAACTATGTTCAAATTCTGTACATACCCATATTTTTTTTATTGTTTTTACAGTAAAGTTTACCTTGTACAAGGCCTGGGGGCCCTCTTGAGATAGAGGGTTACATTAAGGGGTTATTTATTTGGATAGGAGGGAAAGATAATGGTTAACTGTAGACTTGAACAGATTAAGATTGTAGTGATTGGGGAAACACCTTGGGAATCTGTTTCACAAGGAAGTGGTTTGTGGGAAGAAAAGCCGTTTGAGTGGCACTTACTGGAATACAAAGGCTATGTAGGTGATTTGCTATTATGTAAGTGGGTCCTAGCCATGAATGTTAGACCTGGCGGAACCAAGGAATGTAGTTTGTCTGAGCACTTTCCATGGAAGTCTGAAATGTTATTCACTAATTAAATTTTGACTTCTTTAAGTATAGTGTTAGCTGCTAAACCCAAGAACTTCATTTCTTGTCCTTTCTTATGCTAAATACACCATATAGTAATTCTCTACCTTGAGTGGCTCTTGGGTCCTGTATTAGCTGAACATTAGTAAAATAAATAAATAAATAAAAATTTTAATCAAGTTTAATTTTAAATAAACAGGGTTACCTGGTAATCGATAAAAAAAGGCACCAAAACTTGATGATAACTTGAAAACTAAAAGTCACGCTTAAGTGAATAAGTCGAATTATGTACCTTTTTACAGCAATAAATTAATTTGAATGTTAAATAAATCTCTAGTGGGTAATTTCCAGTGTAATTTTTACATAATTTTACACATTATTACGCAGCATTCATACAAAAAAAAAAAAACAAAAACAGAAAAAAACAGTAAAACTGAATTACTAAATTTTGAACTATGATTTTATTTTATTATATAATAGCCATAAATAAATGTCATAAATAAAATAAAAGTAAAATTAAATGAAAATTAGAAACACCTCCACAACAAATCTTTTTTTTTATTTCTGATCTTATTTTTTTAATCTAAGTTACTTAACGTCTACGGTTTCTTGTTCAAAATGACTTTCGGTTTTATTATCTATGCAGAAAGAAGATATAAATTAAATCTCAGCTAAGTAGAATGGATAGAAAAAAATAATTGATAACACGTTAGCGATTTAATCGGAAAATATTTTCTACATTTTTTTTTTAAAAAACGGAATCTCATTGATGAAAAGACTAATGCTTATTATTCATTTTGCTTAAATACTTTTCACATAATACATCATTATAAATAAAGTATAAATAAGTTATCTAAAAAATAAATATCAATATTTTAAAGAATTTCAATATTGAAATCAAAAGAACTGTTGCTTGGTGAGGAAGGATGCTTTCCCGACCACTACGATCGTAACCTCTTCAACTTTAGGGTTAATCGTTATCTTTTCAATATATCAACTTAAAATGCGTATTTTACTATTACAGCTCTCACAACAACCACCTTCTGTAACTCTCTACCTGGAGTGGAACTTGGGACTTGTATAGGGTGAACAACATTATTATCAGTACATAAATAAAACAAGGATGCTAAGTTGTCACCCACGTGTTTTATAAGAAATAAAGTCGATGATATTATTATTAAAAGGAAAGAAGATACACCAACCTGACTTCGTTCCCTGTGAGTTTTCTGTTTTGTTTTAAGGGCATTTTTGAAGGAAGACATAATTGCTATCGCGAAATTATGAGAAATTTAGAAATAAACAAAACAATTCAATCACTTCATATAACACACATCCACACAACTACGAATCGTTTCGTAACTTCTTAAAGGAAGATTTATAATACAAGGGCAATAACTCTACGTTTTAATTTCAGTGATTGTGTGACTTAAATTATGAACTCTTAATTATGAAGTCTAAATTAATTATTAAATATTAAACTATGAACAGAATTCAATTTTAAAATATTCTATATCTTCTAAATATATAAAATATACATTGAAGTATTAAAACAAACATAAGTATATTAAATGATTATTGCATATCTATCACATTATCAGTAAAGGAGAATGTATGGAAGAAGATTGTATGTTGAATACAGGTAAAAATAAAAATTAGCAGCTAAAAAAGTAGCATGAAAAAAAGTCACGAAAAAAAAAAAACAGTTAGTAGTGTTTTATGAGAAAAGGGGAAAAAACTATTACTGTATATTTTTGTGTCTTCGGTTAAAAGATATTGGGGAGAATGGAGATCAAGAGACAACAAGGCCCATCTTAAAAAAATGACTAGAAATACTTAGCGAGATATAAAACCAAAACAATTTTATCAAAATAAAGTAAAAGAAACTTTTTTTTTAAATATAAAGGATGCACACATTTGGTGGACTAGTTAATTCTCAGTGGATAAAAGCGTTGGTTGAGTGATTCAAAAAGAGACTGATCCAAAGAGTTGTGAGTTCAATACTTGGCCACAGCAGAGAGAACAAAAACTTGAAGAGTTGAGTGATTAAATGGGAATTAACTGAAGCTGAGATATCCAAAAAAGGCACGGCACGTGGAATTAGAACACTCTACACTCGTTCCAACGTATAGCACCTGAAGAAGGCCGAAGCGTACAATGGCTGAAAACTTGTGAATATGGCAATAAAAAAGAGGGCAACAATCTGAATGATGTAAATAATAATAATAATAATAATAATAATAATAATAATAATAATAATAATTATTATTATATGCATAATTAAATAAGGGATATCTTGCAGTAATCATTAGGGACTGAGTAATGACAAGCCTCCCTGGATCTTCAGCGCTTACTTCATTATTTTTTACCAAACTTTTTATTATTTTTATCTTCCTACAAAAAGAATTGATCATTAGCACTGGGGATCAAGTGACAACAAATTTCTTAGGTTTGCCCATCGTCCGATTCACACTCCTCCCCAGTTTTTTGAACAGGAGTAAAGGTTCATCCCTTGTTTCCTGTTATGATTGGATTTCTGGTTTCTTCTATATTCTACTTCAGCTCTATACTTATAACGTCTCCGCTTAAACACTGAAATTCTATTTACTAATTAAATCTTGACCTCGTCAAGTCTAGAATTGGTTGTCTATCTTTCTTGTTATCTTGCTCTTTCCTACGCTAATATAACTCCACACAGTCAGCTTCTAACTTGAGTGGCCCTTGTATTGGGTGAAAATTAGTAAAGAAAAATATCAAAGTGTCTATTGGGTAGAAAATGGACATCACCCTGTGAAATATTTGATCACTCAGAAAAAATAAAACCCTATTTTTCTTGAGCGTACTTTCAGGATAAATTTTTTTATAAAATCAACAGATTTCGATTTTCAGTGAGCAGAGATGCGACTGTCTCTAAGCCGAAGAAAAAATGTGGCTACATATCTCTCTCTCTGCAAACGACAGCACGTGTTGAAAGAAACATGTGTCGGCGACTTCAAACGAATCAGCTACAACAACAAAGGTGGTCAGTGAATTTTCACTAATGATAATTTTTTTTTCAGCCACAAACTTTTTCCGTGGACCAACAATTTAAAAGTATTTTCTGAACCATGTTTTTTCTTTGTACCAACAACCCAAAGACTTTAACTCAGCTAAAGACTTTTTTTTTTAACTACTTTTTCACTTATGGGTGAATAGGCTGTTTTTCTTATACCCATCGGGAGTCATCATAAATGATGTGGGTGGTTATTCACATCATAGCAGCAGAAATTAACCTCGTTCACAGGGATAAAAGCATACTTGACAGGAAATAAATCCTACAGAAATAACAAGAAAACATGGTAAATTGTATGTTAATTTCATAGAATTTATTTATATTTTTTGTGTATTTTTTAGGTTACAATTGTTTCATGGTACATGTAACAGAGAGAAGTCGGACACGTGTTGTCCGTACAAAGGTTCGTGGTGAAGAGATTGAATTTAACGTATCACAGCTCATCAGTGTGGTTTGCTTAAAACCGGGATCGAAACTTGACAGATTTGGCATCAGTCAGAGACTCTACCCTTAAGCTATATACAGAAAAATGGAATCTTTTAACATATTATATACGTGATGTATATAAGCGCCAAATCAGCAGCCAGAGCGCTCAATTCATAACTGAAGAGCGATGCGTTAATAGCAGGAGCAACCACTGTTAAAAATTCCCTTTCTCCATAGTGCTCAATCGGTGAACGGGAGCAAGTTATATATATATATATATATATATATATATATATATATATATATGAAGATGAAAGTTAGCTGGAAAGCTGGAAGAGTGTTCCACAAGCGAAAAGTGCGATAGAAGAAACTGTTAGCATAGAACTTACGGCGGCATCCAGCTATTTTAACTGTAAACTGATAAGACCTTGCCGCCACTCTAGAACTGTTCTTAAATTCATAAAGTCTAGGTACCATAGCGGAAAGTTCACCAGAACAGTTACTATGAAAGTACTTATAAAAAAGGCTCAGGGAAGTGCAACCATAAATTCTATTTTAACAGTTTCTTTTCTCATACTTCACATATGTGGAACTTTTTATCGCCTTCTTGCGTGCTTTTCAACTACGATCTCCACAGATTTAGGTGCGACATCAATCTCCATCTTCTGTTTTCCTGAATCCTGTTCTTTTTATCTTTTCTTCTTTCTTTCAGTCTCAGTAACCCCTTGCATCATAGTGGCACTATCGCTTTGCATATTGTTGAAATGATTAAAAATGAAAAGAATCTATGAAAAGGCACTTTACGAATTTGAACTTGAATCACCCTAGAAAAGAAAGGAACCAAAAAAATGGATTGTGTCAAAAATTAACCAACCAAGAGAAGGTAATAGGACTTATTAATTGCATGTGCCTACCATAAAAGGAGGTTGCATCAGAACAGGCAAAAGTTAGACGGTCAGTCAGCGACCGGTACTAATTGTCCAAGAGTGCAGGTCAGAGATTTATAATAAGGATATAATTTTTGTCTTTGCAGCATGCATGTTAGCGATATGCACTTCTGTTTCATATTCAGTTTTTGGGAGTTCAATAAATTTAAGTTCTTCCTTGGGCACCTCGGTGTGGTGTAATGCTTAGAACGATTACGACTGAGTAGTGAGTTCGATATTCACTGGGTGTACCTTACTTTCGGCCTTGTGCCACATCTAAGCAACATGTAAAAAATCACCATTTAGAGCACCTTGACGTGGTTTAATGGCTAGCAAGTTTGTCTCGATAGAACAATTACAACTGAGTAGTGAGTTCGATCCTCACTTGGTATCCCATATGCATAAGGCCTTGTGCCACATCTAAGCTACGCTTAGAAGATCAGTAAAAATAATTTCTTCTTTATTCTATATACGGACATTGGCGGAGGTTGAAGCGGACCGCCCGTGGCAGAAAGTTATTTTGGGCGGCATTTAAATTGATTGGAAGGAGTTTTCGTTTTGAAGCTGTTAAAATCGTTGATTTTAGCCATCTTTCATCACGATGTAATTCTCTTTATTTAGTTTTTTTATTATTTTAAAAAAAAATAAAATTTACTTTTCTGAATCTTTATTTGAGGAATATTAGCTGATTTAAAGTTTAGTTAATTTATATTATTATTGGAATTGATTCGAAATTTATAAAATGTAAATACATTGGGATTGCGATAGAGCCTTCCAAAAGTTAAGCAAAATATTAAGAAATAGGTAGAAACAAATAAAAGAGTACAGAAAACGTTACATAATGTCAGTCCTTGTATATGGCAGTGAATGGTGGACAATTTACTCACAGATCAAGAAGAGACTTGAAGCAACAGAAATGTGGCTCTACAGAAGGATAGTGAGGATACCATGAACTAAATATGTGAGCAACGACGAAATTAGAGAGAAAATTGGAAACAAAAAGGACACATACTTATAATCAGAGAGTGTTGAAATTTCTACGGTACACACTGAGGAAAGCGAGCTTGCAAAGTTTGACACTCACAGGACACTTTGTAGTCAAGAAGGACAGAGGAAAACAACGCACAACCTAAAGTGGGGTGTAAAGGTATTGGTGATTTCCTTTTTTTGTGCTGCTGCCGACAGTATGTTTCGTTGATAAAAAAAAAATATGTAAGCATTTGTAACAATTATGTTCAGCGTCCTGCAAAATGAAGAAGGCTTTTCATTATCGCCATATATTTATCTATTGTACTCGCTGTTCTGACATCTGTAACAACGAAACACCGAGAAACAGGAAGTGACAGGTCCAAACACCAATAAACAGGAAGAAACAATCGAAAAACTGAGAAACGAGAAGAGACAAGTCGAAAGCCCGAGAAACAAGAAAAGATAACGAGAAATAAAAGAGAATTAGGCGAAACAGCGACAAGCAGGGGGTGGATAAAGCAAGAAAGTGAGAAACAGACCGAGACACTGTGAAACAATGAAAAATAGGGTGATGCAAGGAAAAGCATCAAGAGACAATGTGGAACAGGGAGAGGCAAGGCGGAACGGTGAGAAACCGCGAGAGACAAAGAGAAAAAGTGTGAAACAGGGAGAGGCACAGCAAAGCAAAGAGAAAGAAATGGTGAACAGGAGAAAAGGAGAGAAACATGGATAGAAAACAAAGAGAAAGAAAGAAAGAAAGAAAGAAAGAAAGAAAGAGCGATAGAGATAGAGAGAGAGACCTGGCGTAACAACGAGTAATAAAGAAAAACAAGGAGAAATAGAGAGGAACATGGATAGATAAAACATAGAGAGAGAGAGAGAGAGAGGACGAGAGAGAGAGAGAGAGAGACTCGTCGTAACAACGAGAAAGAAAAGGAGACAAGAAGCAACGGAGAGAAACAAGAAATGGCGAAACAGAGAGACTCGGTTAAAAACGAGTAGTAATGAAAGTCAAGGAGAAACGGAGAAAAACATAGATAGATAATGCATAACGGAGAGAGATAGAGAGCGAGAGAGAGAGAGAGAGAGAGAGAGAGAGAGAGAGAGAGAGAGAGAGAGAGAGAGATCCGACGTAACAACGAGTAATAATGAAAAACAGGCAGAAACAGCGAGAAACATGGATAGACAAGGCAAAACAGAAAGAGACATATCGAACCAACGAGTTATAACGGGAGACCAAACTGGAAAAGACGAGACCACGAGAAACAACGACACACAAAGCGAAACTCCGAGAAACATAAGAAGAAAGTAATGGGAAAAATGACAAAACAAAACAAAGGTAGACAATGGTTGATAAAATACAACGATTTGCTAAAAAATAATATTTGTTTTTTATATGAAATATCATTAAATTATTGTCTTTGTTGTTTTTTGTATAATGTGGAAACGTCGTACAGATTCATCAACATGGAAAATTTCAATTATAATATCAACGAACTTCTCAAGCTTAACACAATTACGCTTTATATTTTTATTTACTTTAATTTTCTTAAATATTGATTTGATTTGTTTTTTCTTGATCTATTTTATTTTTTGTTGTTTTTATGCCATTCTTCGTAATTTAGCGAATGATTTCATTATAGGTTTCCCCTGCGTTAGAGAGAATCTTACTACTTCATATAGCAATGTTTCCTCTTCTTGATTTTAATCCGATCGTTGTTATATATTTTCGTTTTGTAGAAAATATCGAAGATTTATTTTGTTGCAAAAGCTTTCTTTTTCTACAACAGCAATTCAATAATTTACACCCTCAATCTTTCCAGATAATTCATTTTATCAATTACTATATTTGTTCTCAAACAAATCGATAACGCGTTTAGACTCGTATAACAGAAAGCAACACGATCTGAACTGAAGGTCCACATGAGAATCAAACAGGAAGAGAGAAGCGTAAATTAAAACCCTTTAACAGTGGCCGCCGACGTTATGGAAAGTAATTTCATGACCACGCAAAGATAGTCTTGAGTTACATTTAATTTCGTAATTTGGGGCTTTTCTCGAAAGAGTGGTGGAAGATGAACAATTTTCATTTTATTCTTTGTTTAAATCTGTTTACGATGGATCGTCTTGTCGACTAATTTGCTGTGCTTGAGATGTGTTTGTTTATTAACTCTTTTCTCCTGGGATGTTTTGCGAGTGCGAAATCTCCAGGCATCTACGAGCCACCTGTCTCTAGTTGTTGTATGGCTGGTGTGGTTGCTTTCGTTCTAACCACCGACAGGGGAGAGCAAACGAGAATGTCCTGATTCACACATATGCTCGTATGATCGCTCAATTCTAAAAGACACCAATAAATCTTTGGGGAACTTAGTTACATCACAGATCAAATTCCCGCTCTGTAGCATTGAGTTAAAACATAAATGATTTTTTTCTTTCTTTCACACCCACTTTCATGCATGTTCGACTCGTACAACGTTTATTGGCACGGATGCCTCTGGCCTGCTAACTCATCAATAAAGATATTCCCTCTAGTCGATTTTCACGCACAATCCTCGCTACTTATTTTCTTCCATCCAGATGCCATTTTGTAGATTCTGATCGCCCACTTGAACCCAAACTCATGCCATATTCCAGAGCCAACCTACACACTTCATGAGACTTCTTTTATTATATTCTTTTCGTAAAAAATAATGTGATTGTTTATATTTGAATCAGCACTTCTGCCTAGGAGTCATGTGTCTGTGTTCTCTGTCGAGGATGAAAGTGTCTTTTTCCTGACCGTCTGTTTCAGGGCCTTGTAAATTTATACGCCTCCTGCTTAGAATCAGTGTAGTACTCGCTTTATGAACAGCATTACACGCACACACAAACATATATATATATATATATATATATATATATATATATATATATATATATATATATATATATATATATATGATAATAATAATAATAATAATGATAATTAAATCCTAATGAGACAGGTACTACCTACATAGGATTCACCACATGGGATCGCTTTAACTTATTACTCGCTGTTTTTCTTCTTTGTACCAGAGATTTAAGATACTGGACGATTTCGTTCGCCTTGTTCGGAGGTTTCTGATGCTTTCTTTTTTTCCGTTTTCCCTGATGCCAAATCGTGCTATACAGGTTTTTAACCCACTGAGTTTAAATAAATTTACATTATATATATATATATATATATATATATATATATATATATATATATATGTGTGTGTGTGTGTGTGTGTGTGAAAAGTGTATATAAATATAAATAAATATATATATATATATAATTATTTATATATTATATGCGCGGTACTTATTAGAAAGCGCTCAATATCAGAGATAGAGCTAACATATTTGGTTGGATAGATGTGAGTTTGTAACCCTGGGTTTCACGCTTTAGCGATCGTCAGACAAACTGATTAATTTTTTTTAAATTTTGGGTTTATGTAGATTGCGTGTATTGGTGTTATTGTGGAAGTGATGGGGGAAACGTCGTCGTTTTGTCATCGTACTAACGCAAACATCGATGTATGCAGACACATATACATACTTGGTCGTCCGTCGGGGCTCATACATATATAAACATATGTGGGCAGTTTCGGATATGACATATGTATGTATAGGGGTGGTGTTGTGTCTATACATACGCATTTGTATGTTGAAATTCAAAGATTGGGAGTGTAGCGAAAATTTCTCGTGAATGTTTCGTGAATGTATACATGTCATATTTTTATTTTTCCAGTGAATAAATTTCTTCGCATGTATGTATATACGTGTGGTGAGGTTTGTGTAAAATTATGATAGGTAAAAATTATTATTATTATTTATATTTATTTTTAAATTTTTGTTATATTTAAAGCTGGTTATTTGTTTGTTTTTGATGACTGTGTATATGTAACAGGTAGAAATTTTAATCCTTATTGGTTATTTTATATGGTGATGTTTAATATTTAATATGCTGGGTGAGAGGGTAGTCTGTGTTAATAATTATAGCGGGTCTATATGATATGATGTGATAGTAATGTTGCAAGGGATTGGGAGACAATGATAATATAATTAGCTAATAGTTATTGTAAATTGGTAGAAGTTATTAGTAACGGTGGTGGGAGAATGATAAAACCATAAATGTAGTTATAGTGGCGGTAGCTTGAACTAAAAAGTGGTTGTTGGTGTTTTATTTTATTTTGTTATATGTATTAATTTTTTCATATAGACAAAAACAATTTACTCACTACAAAGATTCAACTTCTTTTCGGTGCATTTAATTGCACTTCGACTGGTGAGAACGAAAATGGTTATAAACAATTCTGTTTGTTTCTATATATATACTAGCGTATCATGTAACTTTTGAATATCTAATTTTGAAGCTAAATTTAACGGGGTCGCATCATACACGAGATAAAAAAATAGCGTATGTACTGCTGGCGCTGGTTACGCCATTGATCAAACTATATATTCATTTACTGTAGTCATATGGATGACTTTTATATATATATATATATATATATATATATAAAGTCATCCATATATATATATATATATATATATATGAATAAATATATTTTAATATATATATATATTTAAGAAACAAAGTTTTAAGGCGAGATATATTTATGGGATAAAGTGCTCAAAAGATATAAATATAAAAAAGTGAACATTGAAGTCAACGCTCAGAGGCGACAGGCTATTTCATGCTAGACGCAATCGTGCGGCGGCCTGACGATTGCATCTAGCATGAAATATCCTGTCGCCTCTGAGTGTTGACTTTAATGTTCACTTTTATATATATATATATATATATATATATATATATATATATATATATATATATATATATATATATATATATGGGGGCGTGCGAGCGTGCGTTGTAAAAATGTAAGATAGTGTATATCTGTAAAAGAGCAATGTGAAAATGTTTTAACGTAATGTTACATAGCAGGACATTTGCTTTGATAAAGTCCCTCAGAGGACGAAACGCGTTGGTTAAGATAAGTTTGCCTTTTGTCTTATTATTTATATTTTATTTTACTTGATGTCACATTAGATCTCGTTAATGACATATTTCAACGTTATATGAAAAATAATGCCAACGCAATTTATATTCACCCCAATTCTAACCACCCTCCGCCTGTAATCCAACATATTCTTTCGCCTGTAGAACGTAGGATTAGTAAACACTCATCGGACAAAGATGCGTTTGATAAATATAGCGCGGTGTGTATAATAAAGTTTTAAAGAATAGTGGTTACAAGTACGAATTATCTGCATTTTTTTTTATTAATTTCTTAAAACATTATATTCATTATTTAGCTGATGTTGGTTTGATCGTTCATAGCAGATGAGACCATTTAGTTCAAATAACGTTTTGATGAACATGTCATGCCTTTATTTACTTATTTGATAGATAGCTTAAACATACTAAGTATTTAGAGGTGTGGATAGTGAATTCGTCTTGCCGGGTTCAATTCCCGTTCGTTTCTGTTTCGTTCAACTCACACTAATGTCCTCGGTAAAATCATAAATCCGTATTTCTCCAGGCACGGGGTTAAATGGTGTCATCATTTTACAATTGAATTGATTAGAAGTAACCGTAAGTTCTATGCTAACAATTTCTTCTGTCTCACTTCTCGCTTGTAGAACTCACTTTCGGCTTCGTGATTTCCAGTAAACTTTGATTTTTAAAAGTTTTAATTGTAATGTCAATCATTATCTTATGTAAAAATGTATATTTAAAAATATACAAAGAAATCTAACATAAAACAAAAGAAATTAAAAAAAAAACTATGTATTAATAACCTGGTCTCATTAGGTTGTAAAGTATTCCATTGTTAGATCAACAAAAAGCAGGTTTGCTTCAAGAGGCATTGAATTATGCTTCATATCTGGCATCTCTGCTTCAGTCACTTTCCCACCACTGTAATGTGGCTTCCCTTGATCTTTTCTATAAATATTTTTATGGTAATTGTTTTGATGAGCTTTAGTATCTCGACTTTACAAATTTAACTGCAGTACTAGATTGGCAGCTAGGTCTTATCATTTTACAGATAAAATTGCTAGATGTAACTGTAATGTCACTAGGTGCCTTATACTTTCGGCCTTGTGCCACATCTAAGCTACGCTTGGAAAATCACTTTAACTGTGTAGGATGACCGTTATTGTCTGGTATGGGGAAAGATTTCGTGCGTGTGTGAGTT